TTATTTTCAATTTTAAATTTATGTAAAGCTTTGTTATTATTTATGTAATGTGTTTTTATTTTTACACGAGTATTTGAGTATTCAGGTCAAAAGTTCAAAATAATCACTCAAGGTTCTAAAAAGTTTAAAGGTCGTTTCAAAACAAGTAATTATTTTCATTTAAAAAAAAAGAATTAGTTTTACTTTAAATAACAATAAAAGGAAAAGCCAAAATTTAAATTTAATTATTTTTTAAAATTTTCCTTTTTTTATTATTACAAATAAAATAGTGATTTGACGTGGAAAAGCTATGAATTCCAGTTCGAAAACTTTCGTTTCATTCAATTTTATTGACTACTGATAATTGCACTTTTATTGCCAATTTTATTTGCGGCCACTTCTGCTTAAAGTAAACATGGTAAGGCCATTAATTCCATTAGATAATGATGCACTTTTTGTGAATATTTTATTACTGTTGAACTTAAATATTTTTATAGCTTAAATTTATTTAAAAATTTTAATATATTTTTTTTAACAGTTTTATTTGCTACCAAAATTAATTTTATTAACACACACGCACTGCCAATTAAATATTTCAGTAGCGGAAAATTCGTCCAAATTCGTCCACATTCGTCAACTTCATCTGTTTTTTGTTTACTACTCGAGATACTCGTACATACGTGCAAGCACATGCATGCATAAATACAAACAAATGGCTTTGTTTACGTCGAGACTTCAACCGTAAGTTATAGCTTTCAAACCGAACTTCTCACAGATTTAAAAATCTTTGAATTAAAAGTTTTATTTTCTTTTTTAATTAAAAAATTTCATTAATAAACATATTTTAATTAATTCAATTATTTATAATTATTTATAATTATTTATATACATATATATTTTTTTATCATTACCGCACACAACAGACCTTTCCACACGAAGTTTCAAATTCAAACTAAAAGATATATTCGCTCTTGTGTTCATTCTTCTTGCTTGGTTTGCTTAACGGCGAATTCAGTTTTTCTCTTTACTTTTTAAGTTTTATTTTATGACAGCTTTTCTCTTATGTTCGCCAGTTTAAATTTAGCTTAACTAAGCTTTTTATGTGTTTTAAAATAGAATAAACTACACAATAAAAAAATTATTAGTAAACATTAATACTGGATTCACACGAGAGTTTCGTTGGTAATTTTAGCTATCAAAAATGTTCGATTTGCATTGAAAGCAAAAATAATTGACAGCTAATACTGGATTCAGACGAAAGTTATGTTTGTAATGTTAGTTATCATAAAGTCTCGTTTTTGGGTTTTATGTAGAATTTTATTACTAATCGAAATTAAAAATATTATATAAGAATATATGTAGTATATTCTTTCAAAATTCATTCAATGGAAATGTAGTCCGCATGTGCTTGATGTGTTTTGGGGGAGAAAAAAAATACTAAAAAATTTTAAAAAAAGATGATGTCTTGAAAATTTTTATTTTGTAGTAAAATTTAAAACTAAATCTAAATAAAATATAAAAAATGAAATCCCAGGGGACGTATTTTAAGAAAAATTTATTTTTTGATATTTAACGGTTAATATTAGTACTTAAATATTAACAATTTTAATTGTTTAAACAATTTCATAATCAATTATCTTTGAAACGCTGTAAATTTCAAGTTTCTACCTTTTATAGAACTTGAGATATAGCCATTTGAAAATGTGTCTACTATGCCAATTCTCAAAACCCCATGGGTCCATATCTCCTAGGAAAAAAATCACAAAATTTTTTCCCGAGATACGGGTCTTCTTATGATCTCAGCCAAATCGGAGATCATGAGATCACTTTTTGCCAAAATCCGTCTGGTTTGTAAAAGAATGACCCATATACATTAGTGCTAAGCCTTTTATCTTAATAGTTTGAAATTACTAAATATTTTAAATCAATATACCATATAAATATATTATATTATTTGATTTTTAGATAACATAAGTTGTTCAAAGATTAATCTAAACTTCCGGCAGACGGCAAAAATGCTATAGCTGTATGCTTCATGCACCATATATAATATAATTGTTATAAATTTCTATGCAAAATATTTAAAGTAAAGTAAAATAAAGCTATATACTACTAATACCACTATAAAATTATTACAAACATTATTACAAACACTAAAAACTTATATTAAAGATTGATAAAATATGATATATCAAAAGAAAATGTATAGAATAAAAACATTTCAATCAAAATAGCCTCAAATATCAATAAGGACTTACCAAAAAAGCTAATCAGCCATCGATCTCTTGTTCATTAATAATACTTAATCTGATTTATTATTATTTAACACGGTAAGATTCCCAGTCACCACAAATCAGTAATAGTTTTCTAAAACACGTTATCTCGAAAAGTAGGCTATATGGACACAAAGTCTGGTGTCAGTATTTATTGTTAAATTCTAGCACTCAAGAAATCGGATTGGTGTCATTATTTTAGCTGTATTTAGAAAATACTTTAATTTAGAATTTTATAAATTTGGAAGATAGTTTCCATTTCGTCTGACGGGTGACAACTAATAGACTAGTCAAATTATTGACGATAATTTTAAGTGGGTAAGAGCATTTACAACAAATTTCAAATGTATACTTACATAGCAATGTTTTTTTTTATTTTAGAATTACATCAAGAGGTTCGCATATGATCGCAATAGCTTAATACTTATAGCTTATCCATATATTATCTATAAGATTATTATAAACATATCTGTATTAACGAAGATAAATCCAATGATGTGTATACAATCCTTTTTTTTCTTTATACTTCATTGCAGTGTCAATATGACTTTTTTCAACTTTACCGAAATAATCACAATATATACGCTTTCAATACTTCTACTTTGATCTAATTCGTTGGGTCTCTTATTAACTAAAATTGATCAAATGATGTTCTGATTTTTTTTAGTTACGTGTACCTCAATAACTTTTTTTCAAAGACGTCTTCTTTTAATAGTCGAATAGCAGAACCTCTTAATATTAGTAGGATGACACCATTTGTAATCAAAGTCCTTTACGAACGTAGAGCTCTAATCCCTTCACTACACTTAACTTTTTATCATTACTTTATTAATTTGTAATCAAGAATTTTATGTCCTATGATAAAAATTCTATTTCTAATAAAAAAAGAATGGCAATCCCAAGAAAATTTTAAAATTCGAAAGAAAAGTTTTTATTAAGTAAATTCATGAGCTGACCAGACCATAAAGCTTCTTCGTATATTGCCAAATATCCATTATCAGTAGTTTCTACTAATTATTTTGTACTTATAGATCTGCCTACAATCTTATATTAAAAACATTATCAAAAATAAACTCAATATTTGTGTTTTTTTTTACAGAAACGTTTGCGATTTTATTTTAAATTTATTTTATGATTATTTATTATTATTGATTTATTTAAAATTATTATAAATTATTATAAATTTTAACATTTTCTTTTCAATTTTTACTGAAATTAATTTCCATATGATTTTTATGATGATTTTATTATTTTTAGAATTTTGAATATATTTTAAAATTTCGTCACGATTCTTTATATAATAATGTAATTGTATATAACTGCATTTTATTTTTAATATATATATAATTTTTTTTTTTTTGGATTTTTTAATTTTTAATATATTGCAAATTTGTTTTGCAAGTTCGTCAGTTTCAAATAAATAATTTATGTGTCATTTGTAAAAAAATTTTTATATATATAAAAAATGATGTATATAAAACATATTTTAAAATTTCAATTTATAAATTAAACAATATACTTCACTTAAAATTAATTTACTTTATTACTAATAGTTTAATATTATTTTTAAACTTTATTTTAAATATGTATGTAAATATGTAAAATTAATGCACAATTTAAAGTTTTTGGTTTTATTTTAATTACAATTAAATTTTAAGATTTATAAATAAAATTATAAATTTCGAATGTATTCATCATTTATTAAGTGTTATAATATAAATTATTAATTTTTTTCTTTACTATATTATTGCTTATACAATAAATATTTAATATTTTTTTAGATTTAACTTTTAGTTTTGTATTTGATTTACTATTTTCTTTTTTTTAATTTATATCATATTTAAAAGAATTGATATTCTTTACACATACATTTAAGTGTATTTTATATTTTTTATAATTTTTATTTTCTATTAATATTAATTTTACAAAAATAATAAATTTAAGATTTTGTATCAAAAACGGAAGTAAATGTTGCACTTTTTGTGATTTTATTTTTATTTTCTTATCCAATAACGTAAATTGTTGCCATTATTTATGGGAATCAAAAACAAATTTTTTTATATATGAAGAAGAAGAATTTGATCTATAAGTACTTTAAATACCAGCCACATAGAACATTCAGGCCAGCGAGACAGCTAGAAAATGCCATGCCTTAACAACGGATAGTTGTACTTGTCCACTGCTAAACTTCCATTGCTACAATTCCAGTTAAATATAGGATGAATTTTACACACAACTGTTTAACAAACATAAACTACATGCTTCGCTAGTCCTCCATTAATAATTACATTATGCTTTAACTAAAAGAAAACCTTTCATCCATAGGCGTATACATTTCTGAAACACAATGTAATTTTCGAATGGCTGAGTGTACTCGAATATCAAATTGATCCAGGCTTTAATCAACTCATCTAGTATTTGAAGTTCTAGTATATCTATTGATCCTTAAAAATATGGGGATATATAAAAAGAGTACATTATAGTACTTTCATCAGAAAGGTCTATTATAAAGAAAAATAATTATAGCAGAATACAGAGAAAACAAAATATATTTTTTCACAACCTATTTCATCATATGCAGAAAACTTTTAAGACTTGCAGATCTAGATAATTTGGAAAAACAATTTTTTGGAATACTACGACGCAAAATTAATTAAAATTATAGTCGGCACATCTAACGTGATTAATAAATATCAAGTTCAAAAGTAAAAATCTAAAAGAAACAGTTTTGAATACTATTATTTTTCAACTGTGAGTTAAATTACAAACTGTATACAATATATGAGATAACTTCATTTTTTAAATAATTATATCTTTTAATTCCTTCGTTCTTTATCACTTCCTCTCCCTCAAATTTCGTTCCTGAAATTAACAAAAAAAAATTTTTAACTTTTATTTATTCAAGGATATATAATTTTTAACTTCTACCCATAAGGTTCATACAAATAACTTCATATAAATCATATAATGGCAACAACTTAAGATTATAAATCCTATTTAATATACATTTATAATTTAAATCAATTTACTGTGTAATGGCAGACAAGTATATGGACCTATGATCGTATTTGATTATCTATTAAGTATTATATTGCTTACTAGCGTTATATATATTGATATATTGGAGAATAAATTTACAATTTCATTTGGGTAAGAACATTGTTTTTTTTTTTTGACAAATTTTTCTATTTTAGAATATTTACTATTTTCTTAGCTAAGTATCTAATTTCTTTTGTCATATAGTATATTTTAAAATCAGTTTAATTTATTATTATAAAATTTAGTATTGTTTTTTTTATTCTTATATTTAAATGCTTTTCAATTCCATATTAAAAAATGTTTAAAATGATTTTAGTGCAAAACTGAAATATTAAAAATAAATTAAAATGAAGCGCAAAAAAATTAAAATAAAAAAATTAAACTAAAATTAAAATTTTTCGTTGAAATAAAATATGTATAAAACAATATTATTAATATTAAAATAATAATAACAATAGTAATAAATTAGTTTTAAATGACATGTTAAAATAATATTGCACAATTATAGTGTAAAAGCAGTCTAAACTGTTAAATAGAATATTGATCTATATTTTTTTTTATATCAATAAGATCTACAATAAAACTTTGAAACACAAAACAAAAAGAACTTGATTTTAAAATAAAAATATTATTAATAATTGAAGTATTAATATATAGTGCAATTTACGAACTTGAGTTACAAGCTCGGTAAGCGAGTTACATACAACTAAAGTCGTCTCCCGAGATTGTGAATATCACTGATATTTTTTTCTCCATACTAACACAGCTTTTAACGAAATTTAAAACAATGAGGAAATTTACAAATCCAAAAGTTTTTCAATTTTATTCAAGTAAATTCTTGGACTGACCGTGCAGCTATTCCAGATATTACTAAATCATTATCTGCAGTGGTCTTTGGAAACCTCTTTTGGTTTTTTAGAAGTATATAATATTTTCTGCAAGTGCCAGGAATTAAATCTTGTCACAAGGCTGAAGTACTTCCAAATCCAATTTATATTGAATATTGGTTATAGAACAAAAAAATATCATATAGAAATAATTTATGAAAGAAAAACTACTTGTCTGATTAAAGTATAATAATTCTTAAAAAAATATTATTTATAGTATGTATAATTATTTTTTTACAATCAATCTAATAAATGAATTTTTTTAAGGTCCTTAAATATTAAGATAGAATAAAATAAACTTAAATTTTTAACAATTTCATTATGGATATGTAAATTAAATAATGTACCATCTATTACTGCAATCTTAATTAAAGACAATCTAATTTTTTTACGATATTTAAAATTAACTTATAAAACAGAAATATTAAAATCAATAAAAAATTTTGAAATATTTTTTTTTATGCCCCATAACATAACAAAGCAGTGCATAAGATTAGGTTGGAGTAGTGGCTTTGGGCCCAAATTATGACCTGATATGACACCACAAATTAGCATTGTTCACACGCAGATAAGAAACGTCAGTGTACGAGGAACAGCATAAAACACGACTCCCCCATTCAGGTGACATCCTAACCTTTGAACACACCCCATTGAAGTGGTTAGGTTACTCCGCCAGGATTCAGAGTAACGTTCAATTATATACCACCCCCCATCCATTCAATCCTCCCCATTCTCTTTCCTCCCTCGATCACCACTCAACTATTACCCATCCACTTCCCCACCCATGTAATCATCTTGTTTATCATTTCATGTTATATGCTTACAGGTTCCAGCGGATTACAACAACATCCTCAAAATCTGATCAATTCGCTTCAAGTATAGAAACTCAAATCCTTAGAACTTTATAGAATTGTTATCCCTTTCATTCTAAAATTTAAAAATTATTTTTTTTCTAATCTGAATATCACCACTTAAAAAAAATAAACATATACTTTTTTATTGTTGATTTTGCAGAGAACTTAATAACTTTGAATTAGAATTAAAAAAAAAAATTAAAACAAATGATGAAATTTTATATTAATATGCTTATTAAATAAATTTATTTAAATTTAATCAATGTATTTAATGAATATAAAATATACATAAGCTATAATGCAATAGAATTTCTAATATTTATATAAATTTTTTAGTTTGTTTAAATTTACTTTTTAAATTATTTGTTTCTTTTTGTTATAATTAATTGCAAATATTTTGCAAATATATTCACTTGTAATTAATTTTATGCAATTTTCGTTCAACTTACAATATATCTTTTATGTTTAATAATGTTTTTTATATATAATAATAAGTAATAGTAACACGCAGATGCAGTATTTATTTTTCTAATGCTTCTATTAATAAGCAAAGAATTTTTATTTATATTTATATATCTCAAATATATTTAAATTAAAATAAAATTATTAGAATAATACGATAACAAAAGGAAAATTTTAAAAAAATATTTATTTACGTTATAACAAATTTTTTTAATTCAGCAAAAATATTATAAACAAAACAAACATTTTTTTGTTGCAAATAAATACATTAAAAGTAATTTTAAAAAATAAATTTTACTGAAATTTGAAAAATAAAATAAATTTGGAACATAAAAATCAAATTTAGATAAAATAACTAATAGTAATTTTAATAATTATAATAAAAAATTTGATTTTACAAGCTTTTAGACTTAAGAACATAATTATTTTTTTTTTCAAATACATGAGAGTAAATGCTTACATATTAGAATTTAAACGACTATTAAAAACAATTTACAAAGACTTACATTTAAATTTTTTTTAAAATTACGTTGTTTTCCTTAATGTATGCATACATTTAAATTTTAATATTTATATACGATTTATTAGCGATTTTGTTTTTTTAAATATTTTAAAATAAAATTTATAATAATTTTTGCAAGATTGGAAAAATCTACTACGCAGCTTAATTATCTAAATATTATATAGATATTGTGTATATGTTGTAGTCAATTCTCTAAGGTGAACGACTTGAAATGTGTATTTTTTTTATAAATATCAAAATTATCATGCGATTTTTTTCGATTATGTTTTTATACTTTAAGCTGTATATAATTTTACATAATATATACCTTATACAACTATTCTAACTATTATAATATAAATATATTATAATATTTAAATATTTATTTTATGTGCATACGTTCATACATATATATTTATATATTTAATTATATGTTTTTTATATATTCAATGTATGTATATAAACACATGAAACGTTTACTATTTAGAGTAATGCACTCTTTGCTATGTATATGATAGTATAATTATATTTACGTATTATATTATGTAAAATTTTTATTTGTATATAATTTCAGTTCATTTTTCATTCGTTAAGTTTTTAATATAAATTTTTTTTTTGTTAATTTAACACAACTTTTGCATTTTATTTTCTATTTTTGTATATAATATTGGTGTATTTTTTTTTTAATTTTTGTTCCATATAAATTTTGTATAAAAAAGATAAATTTATACGACAACACTTTTAAATATAATAGTATATAAATTATGAAATAAATGATACCGCTTTTGCATGGTAGTTGATACTGTTCGATTCAGTTACTTATTTTACCTTCTATTGAATTCGGATTTTATAGCTAAAAAAAAATATATAAATAATATTATTTTATGAATATTTGAACAATTTTTAATATATTTATTTTACCGTCTATGATTTCTTGTTTAACTTTTTGTATTTCCAGACGCATTTCACGCACAATTTCAGCCTTAAGGGTATCTAAATCGCCACTAGATAATGCCAATGATAAGCCATCTCCATTGACCTGCTATTAAAAAGTGTATTAGTAATTTTATTTTTAAAAAATACACTATGCAAAAAATATTTAATTATATACACTATATAAATAATACAATAAATAAAATAATAAATAAAATAATAAACAAAATAATAATAAAAATAATAAATAAAATAATGGATAAAATTTATAAAATATATAAATAGAACAATAAATAAAATAATTTAATATTAAGGTCACTTAAAAGATATTTTAATAGTTCTGGAGGAACTAAAATATAATATAATAAAATATAATTCTCCAAGTAATTATAAAGTATATAATTTAAATGATTGATTTATAACAAAAAAAAAACTATAATATGGATAAAAACCTCATGAAAGAGTATTAATAATATATATATTCTTGATATTATTTGATTGACTTGGTGTTTTTGCAGTGTTATCATATCATAGCACTAATAAAATACTTATATATAAAATATATACAAATTGTAAATGGTTGAATATATTGATTATGTGGCATGATATGGGAAATGCTCTGAAACACATAGACAGGAATAAAAAAAGCAACCTTTTGCAAAAATTCTACAAGATGAGAAACACACAGGACTGTGATATGGACTAAAATAAACTCCAATCATATGAAAGCTAAGCAGTACATACTTTTAGAATGCAAGTTGTAAAAGATAATAAAAAGTTACTGTCAAAACAACTGCTGCATATATCGATTATTTTCTTCGTATCATACATATAATGTCATCTAACGCAGCCGGGCCAATGTTTTAAAGAGCTTTTACACTCCGCACACTTTAAAAAGTTACTTCTCACCTTTAAAAGCGTCTATCCATCTGATATGAAACTATTTTGTTTCATGATTGTTCCATTGAAATGGCAATATGTATTCATATTGATCTGAAACAGATTAAACATTCGAATCTATTGCTTTCTTACTCTAAACTCAAAGAGTTTAAACTCTCTAGGTCGTTTAATCAAGGTTAAATTATGTTTTAGTAGAGATATTGAAGCTGTCTTAGATCTTCTGGAAAGTTAGTTGCTTACAAGTAAAATCCGATTAAAAAAATTTAAATGTAATTGATTTTCAAGCTAACAATGAATACACAGGATCTATTATATTATCATTATATTATCATTATTATTATCATTATTATTATCATTATTATTATCATTATTATTATCATTATTATTATCATTATTATTATCATTATTATATTATTTTTTTTAACTTAAAAAATGTTAGTTTTCTTCAATAAATGTTTCATACCTTAAGTATCGTTTCTTCACTGGCACTACCAAAACGTTTACGCATAGGTCGTGGTGATTCGCTTCCCCCATTCGATGTGCTATTGGAATTCGAACTGGCATTATTTGAATTAGAACCTAATTTATGTGGTAAAGTATTTGATTTTTCCCAAGGTCGTTGTTTTACTTCAGGTTCCACATCCGGCTGTAAAATATGAATTATATAAATAAAATATAAATACGAGAATTTCAAAAAAAAGCATACTTCTTTCTTCTCTGCCTGTGCACGACGGCGTGCAAGTGTTTTAGCCATTTCATCCATCATCGATGCCATACCAGATGAGCTGGGTCCAATTGTTCCGTAATTTCCGCTACCACCACTAGAAGTGCTGCTACCACTATTTTCTGTAGGTGGTGGAGCAGTCTGTAATATAAAATATTTTATTAATTAAATAAAACAATTAAATAAATATAAAAGCATACCTTATTTTTCTTGAGCTTAGCTTGTTGTAGTTGCGCTGCTAATGAACCCATCAATTCAGATTGTGGATCCTCTTTTTTTGCTGGCATACCACCCATTGGCGGCGGTGGTGGAGGTGGCGGTGCAGCAGGTCCACCCATCATAGCAGGCGGTGCCGGTGGTGCTGGTGGTGCGGGCGGTTGTGGTGGTGGTGGAGCATTTACTGCACCACCATTAAACATTGGATTTGCATTTACGGGTGCACCACCAAATGACGGTGGTGGTGGTGCAACAGGAGGTTGACCACCACCGCTACTCATACGATTCAAAGGTGGTGGCATGGGTACACTACCTACGCTGTTTGCTTGTGGTTGCATCATAGGCGGCGCAACTGGCACCTGACCATAAGGACTCTCATGTTGACTCTGTACACCATTTAGCTGAACATATGCATTGGATTGTATTGACGGTCCATTGGGCATTGCTGGTGGCTGTGGTGGTTGTGGTGGTATGGGTACATTAGCCATGATTTGTGGTTGACTGGCATATACGACACTATTGGAACTGGCTGATGTTGGTAAACCACCACCGACAACAGGCGGCAACTGTGATTGTGTGGAAACATAAATGGGTCCATTCGATTGATGTGGCGGCGGCATCGGTGGTTGTGGTACGCCTTGCTGTTGTGGGTATTGATGTAGATTTAAATTTGGATTAGAATTTGATAAGACGTAATGACTGGTTGGCTGATACTGTACAAGATGATGTTGAGGATTTAGGCCATTTTTAAGGTTAAAATAAAATAACGAAGGCCAATTTTTTTTTATGGATAATAATTTTTTTACAAATGTTGTTGTTGTTTTTAAGCGGTAGGATAGTTTACAGTGCGGCAGTATAATTTCGAAATCCAAGAATGAGGCACAGAACAATTTTTATCGGATCGGATTAAGGAATAATGAAATGAGATAGAAAATACGAAATATGGAAAATATGAAAAATAAAAGCAAATCATAAATCATTTTTATTTTAATTTTCTTAATTTTAAAATTCATCTAAGGTAACTAAGGTTATTGATAATAAAATAAAAGAATATTAAATGAAAAAAGCCCAATTTTCCCAATTTCTTAAAGCAAATGTTTTTAACACGAATACTAAAATATAGTTAACCAAAGATACTATATACAATATATTATGTACAGCATATGTATGTATTTATATAACTAAAGATATTATAAAATTTTATTATCATATCTAAAACTTAGTGTTTATAAATTTTTTTAAAATTATTTTTTAAAATATATTTAATCATATTTCTAATTTATTTACAATATTTTAAAAAAACGTATTCTTTTTGTTTTGCAAAAAAGTTGTTGAAATGTTTGAGGTTAAGGTTTATTGAAACCGGCATCTTTAATTTTCATTGTACAGCTTTTTTCACCTCTTTTTTTATACATTTATTTATATGCATCTCATTGCTAGCTTTTTGAAGCATTTTCAGATACAATGATCTCAGCATATTTTTCAATAGCAAAGTATTTTATGAAGTCAATTAAATTTTACTTAAACAGTTTGTTTACTAGAGCCACAAATGTTGGGAAAATTTAAAAAGAAATACCTCAAATCAGCAATTGATAGGAATTGGCTAATAAGTTTATTATGCTCATTTTAATTGCAATTCAATAACAATAAATTTAAATGTCAATAAAATTACAAAAGTTAGTCTTGAAACGTTTTTCAAGAGTATCTATTAGAATTACTAATACCTCAATATGTGATTTATGCTAATAACTAAAAATTGAGTAAGAAGCTATTTAATGTACCATTATGTAGGTAACATGACCTACATAATCCAATTCTAAAATATCTAATTCAATTCACACAATCAAGTTAAGAACATCTAAAATAATGATAGAGCAGTACAACACTAGAGGACAGACTAGGCCTGTGCTATCGAAGCTTGGGTTGCCCACCATTCGAGTAAGAGATCATTGAGCATCTGTTGTGCTACTATATAGATTTAAGCATTTGGGATTCTATTCTTCAATTCATTCTACAACGTCTGAAAATATAAATCACCTAAATAGTTAAATTCATTAATGTATTCGACGTTATAAAACGTTCAATCGTATTCTCAATATTACTAGGAACGTGGTTGTAAACCACTAGAATCTGGAAAGCAGACAACGTGAAAGAATTAACAAGACAAATATATAAGTTAGAATATGGATAGGTAATGGTTAAAAACGGCTCTCTAGCTAATTGAGGTGAATTTGGCATCAATCCACTTTATCACCTACCTAACTACCTTCTATCACTATATAGTGTTTCTGTAAATATTTTATTATTATGACAAAAATAAACTAAAGCTGAAGGGTGACAGTCATTATTAGATTTAAAAATCTCCACTAACTCAAAGTTCCCTTAAGCCAATTGTAAACACAAATTACCTCTACATTCGTTCTCGTAATTAGTTTAAAATTTCACTTATTCTATTATCTACTCTAAACAGTTTATTTTTACTAAGATAAATATTAAATTAAAAACCTTACATTAGCATGCAATGAGCTTCCTTTCGCAACATACCTGATTTTGTTGATATCCTGCGGTGTTCATCATTTGTTGTGACGCATAAACGGCATGTTGTTGCTGTTGTTGTTGCTGCTGTTGCTGTGGCAATTGCTGTGGTGCATGATATTGCGTCTGACCTGGTACAGGTGGTATGTGTGTCTGTGGCTGTTGTTGCATACCATTTTGTGTTGGTCCATTAGTAGTCTGTCCATACAATTGTTGTGCTTGTTGCTGCTGTTGTGGTATTGACATTTGTTGTGGCTGGGGTGCTGGTGGAGCGCTAAGGGAATTTCTTTAGTGTTTGAAATTTTGGATGTATCGAATTTTTTTAAGGATAATTTTTACAAATCGAATTAATTTGAATTGAATTAAGTAGGAACAAAGGATATAAATTATGTGGTGAGTTTTTAAAACGTTAATAATAAGGTGAAAGGTTTTTCGTTTAATGTCATACGATAAATTGCAATGAGTTATTTGATGCGACGGTGATGAAAAACATACATGTTATAAACATAAAAAAAAGAGAGATTGAATATATAAAATTAAAATTGTTACAAGTAAACTTAATTATACATTAACATATTTTATATATGATATATATTTAACAAACAAATCTACATTAGTTAATATTTAATTAATATTTACGACTGAAGCACTCATTAGACTAGATAACTTAGCTAACCTGCTAGTACGATGATGTCCTTGTGGTGTAGGTGGGCTTTGTGGTATATTATTTTGATTTGCTTGTGAGGTTGGTGTTTGTGCCGATGGTGTTACTTGACCAGCAATTTGTTGCTGACGCAATATAGCCGCATCTTCACTAGTCATTGTGCGATATCCCATATCTTCCTCATAACCATTACCATTTGTAGGCTGACCTGGATTATTAATTACACGACCACTTAGTACCTGTAAGAGTATAAAAGATTAATTGATTAATTATTTAAATAAGATTTTGTAAAGTTGTAGTTTTCTTACCTCTAAGGCATGCATCATAGCTCGCGCAAAACCCTCCGCATCCTGTTGGCTTGAAAAATTTAGGCCATAAACATTTTTTGAATCGCGCCATTGATGAAATGTTGCTGTAGCCTGATTATATTTGAGACCTTTAACTATAGAACAATTGATGACCACTTCGTGATCATGCAATTTTCGACCAACAACACGAAATGTATTATTCTGTTGATGATGATAGATTTGCACTTTACTGAGACCAGATGAACTTCCCGATGGTACCCATTTCTTTTGGGTATCATCGTAGACCATAACTGAGGCGCGGGCCCCAATAATACTTTGTTCACTGTAAATAAATAAAAAAAAATGTTTTTAGTAAAATATTTGCTTTTAAAAGCTTCATTTTATATTAAACTATTTTATATTCTATAAAAGCATATACATACAAATTCATATCCTTAAACTATATATGTAAATCATATAGAACTAATTTGTTTTACATTATTATATATATTTGTTACACAGTATAATTGTTTGTTTTTAAAAAATATAATTAAAGTATTTTCAAACAACTGCGTTAACAAGTTTTACATTTTATATCATAAATACTTTATTGTTTATTAATAATTGCAATTAAAGCAGAATTTGTGAAACCATTCATACCAGAATCCAGACATTATGAAACAAACCACGGTCGATATTTTAGCGTGTATTATAAGTGTTATAATTTTCCAAGAATAATTATGGACATGTAACTTGTCAGAGGCACGTTCAATTTTTTTCAGGCCTTCTTCATTATATAAAACAAAACTTTGAAGAGTATTATAATGTAACCTTTGATCAAGTTATACGTGCTACATATGTTTTTTACTAATGAAATTCTTTAAAGATTGACTTTCTTCTTCTTAAAACAATTCATATTATAAAAAGTAACTTCTTACAATAAAAAGTTACTAACAATAAAAAATGCTATAAGCGATCATTGTGAAATAAACACTTAAGATAAGATTGTGACGAGGCCCATAATTAAAATCGGGACTAGGCTTAGGAAAGCATTGAAGAATTATGTTGAAAGACTATTAAAACTTTTAATGAGAAACTACTCTATATACAATAATCTAAGTAGTTGCTATTAGAAACACATAATTTAGAACAGATTAGAAATTTAAAGAGAGATTTTGAAAGAGAGAAATTAATGGACAGGTATAACGTGAAGAAGCTAGGACAACAAGAATTATACGATTTTAGCATTGAGAACGAAAGTTAGAGTACAGCAAGGACAGTATTTTTTTATGCTGGTCTTCCTGAAATCTCTGATTTCAGCATTCTTAAGTCGTATTGCTTGAGGTTGATAGCTTACAGAAGTTTGCACACTGTTAAGAGATGAGTTAAAATTTATAAATGAAATAAACTGCAAAATTTTTTAACTTGAATCAGATGTTTTTATTGTCTAGGGCTTTGACATACATCCAAGACTTTTTTAATAGTTTATAATTAATTTCTTTAAGTATTAATGGTTAGCTGTACTAAATTGGAATATTTCTTTTAGAAAATATATTAAAAGGACTGACAAGAGCTCATTTAAGTTATTTGGTGTATGGAGGTGTATAAAAGGCGTAAGATCTGCTATTTACTTTTCATATTAAGAAGGATGTAAATGAGTACAGAAATATTATCCGCCTATTCTAGATCTATAAAACCGCATTAAGACTATACTGTATGTTTAATAGCGATTTCTTATTCGTTTTCGTTATACCTGTATCGAGCACAATGAGAAATATTTATTTTGTTTTTTTCATAACTATATCTAGTACAATGAAAAATATTTCTTTTCTTCATAACCATAACTAGCCCAACAAGAAATAGCAGATGTGCCATAGAACAACCTTTTCGAACTCAATATTAGAAATTATTTATTTACCATTATTTAGTTTAAATAGAAACAAACTAGAGAAATTATTTTTGTGAAACTTTGAAAATATCATAAAACTTAAAAAGTATTTAAAGAATAGAAAAAATTTTAAGGAACTCCATTCCAATGCAAAAATTCTACTTCTTTGAAAATAATCGCAAATGTCGCAAGATAATTATTGCCTCACATCATGTTAGTTCATTTGAAATCTTTAGAATAATTGCAGGTTCAAGCAATTTTATTTATGAGTACTTGACAAAAACAATGCGTTATTGTCAGTTCTTCAAACAGTTCCTCAAAACAATAAAAGATTTGCACGTCTATGACACATACCAATAAGTTGGATACCATTTACAATATTACAAAACAGGAAACAAACAGACATTTTCACGTAATCTCATTTCCGAGAAGATCAGTAAATTAAAAACACATTTAACATTAAACTCAGATACTAATTAATAATAAAACCAATTATCAGCTAAACGAAGCAAAACACCTGTCATTAGAAAAGAATGCCAATTCAGTCTTTATAGTTCGCAGCTAAGGCACATATTTGTAGATGTTGAAGAACAACACAAATATTTAATTTACTAAAATGGCAAGTGAAGTGAATGCAGTTTAGCAGGCTTAAAATATCTAAAACAGAATTTTTAAATAAGCAAAAATAATTCAAAACAAAAAAAAAAATTAATCTATAAATTTTTGATGTGTGGGAGACTCTTGGTTCAACTTTTGCAGAAAAATCCACAACAATGTTTACTGCTCTGAAGAAGTTTTTAAAGAGTTTGTTAAGATAAATAAAACTAGCTAAACTTACACAGTTGATATTTATAGTAGAGTAAATTTCGTATTTTTTATGGAAACATCCAAAATACAAACTAAAAAATATTTCTAAACAAGGCCATAATTCATAGTTAAACTGGGCTGCATTAGTAGGTTTAATAGGATTATTATGGAAAATTATTAATTAGCAAAAAAATGTTTAAATTTGTTTTTTGCGATTTATTTATTAAATTTTTAATTGAGAAACAATATATTTAAAAAGTTTTTAAACAGAAGAATATACAGTATACTCTTAATAATTTCAACATGATTGTATATAGGATTGTCCCTATTACTAAAATGTCCAAATTATTGAGAGTATTTTATTTTAATTAATAATGTAAAAACTCATTAAGATTAATTTATTTTGTTGAATGTGACTCGTCATATAACGAAAAGAAAACTTGAAGGGTTTGAACTGTAACGAATAAACAACAACAAAACTTTGATTAATTTATTGAAATTTTGTTGACCATACAACACTGTTTCGAATAAAAAATCAATATTTAGACGTTATATAGTCATCAAATAATATATTCATTATGTCTGTTTATAAGAGATATAGTCTGTTTATAACAGACAGAAATAAACAGAGTATATTTCATTAAGAAAGACCACTAAATAACAACAAATTACATACTAAAAAATTGCTAAAACCGGTTTTACACCGTACTTTATTGTTGCGTCATTGTCCTTCATTACTGAAATTTACCATTTCCGTCGAGTGTCACTATTATTGAGCGCATACCGTATACGCAAACGATAACAATAAATAATTAACAAATACATTTTTAAATTTTAGTGCATTATATCGCATAATGTAGTTAAAGTCAATAAAAATTTTCTTATTAAATTATATTGTACATACAAAAAAATATTTATCAATTTAGTTCATAATCTCCTTTGCGCTTATCTAATAAAATTCCGCATTTATTAATTATTCATTCATAGTTATGTCATTATAATTATTTACTATATAATCTAGTGTTTGTAGATATTTTATATAATATTATATATTTTAAATGCAATTTTGCACAGTTTTCATATTTTTACTACACTCAGTTTCCTTCATACTCTTGTCAAATCCATCTTTTACTGTAAACACTTAAGTGTTTCGTTGAAGAATAGTTGACAATTTCAATATTTATTAAGACAAAAAGGAAAAATAAACAAAAAATAAGAAAATAAATAATTTTTGTAAATATTCAAACAAAAATATTTTAAGTAGAGCTTGACTATGGAAATATATATCCAACACATATATCGAAATATGATATAACAATGATTCATACACAAATATTTAGCAGATGCAGATGGACAGTAAACAAATATTAGATTTAATTGGAAAATATTGTGTATAAACTTAGTTTAAAAGGTAGAATTAACCATCATAAAAAATATATTCTATAGGTAAATATTTATTGTACCAAGAAAAAAAAAAAACTAAAATATTTGCACAAAACAAAAATATAAAAAATTATATACTCCAATACATAATATTCGTATATAATAATAAATTTATGCACACACATTTATATATATATAAATAAATATAAATGTAAAAAGGAAATTTAAAAAACAAACATTTTTTTAAATCAACTTCGACAATATATTTTTAATCGGGTAAGTTAGTATAAGTTGGATCTTTAAAAAAATAGAACCTATAAATCCTTGTCAATGCGATGTTTCTACGTTTTTCATATTTGGTGACAGAGCTAACCCAAACTCTTCTGCCCAAGTAACACACAGATGTCGGGTTGTTATTATACACTCGAAGATGAGCTACTAAGTTATAAAACCAATTCTATAAAAATTATAGAACCAACCGGTTTTTAGGAGAATATTTTTTGTAAGATCGCAATATTTAAGATGACCGACAAGCTCAGTAATTTGTAACTTTTATAATAAAACTTCTTCTTATATCTTACCAGTCCTCAATTTGAGAACAACGCAGGGGAAAACGAAAGATAACTATAGTGGGAATGGTTAACAAGACTAACAAAATCTAAAATGCTTTTAGGGACCTAAAACGCTTTTACTTAAAGCATAGAACTAACAAAGAATCACTTAGGAATTATTACAAATATACTAAACGATTGAATAATCACCTAACAAAGTTTGAAATCCAATCTAATTCAGACTGTAGAGAAGAAAGAGAAACCGCATATCATGTGCTAAAAGAATGCCCGGCACTGATGCATAGCGGACCAGTTAGGACCACTGTCTTTCACTAAAGAATTGAATTTGGAGAAACATTCTAATCCGACTAAGGGACACAATAGATTTTTTAGGTCGCAGTGTACTATCCGTTATCTTTATAATAATAATAATACGAGGAAATTACGTAACTTATTTCTTATTTTGCACTGCGGTTCTCAACTTGGAGAAACACTCTAATCCGACTAAGGGGCACAATAGATCTTTTAGATCGCAGTGTACTATTCGTTATCCTTATAATAATAGTACGAGGAATTTATATAACATAACTTATTATTCACTGTTATCTCTATTATTATTGTAAACAATCTAGCTTATATGGATATTACTTTTTTTCTTTTCTTGAAGCTGGGAAATATGCCCTAAAATTAGTGGAAGTTGATTGGAAAACCCAGGTGAATACTTTATAAATATTTAAATTTGCATAGAGAAAAGTTCAAACGAAATAGAAATTAATTATTTTTAATAAAGTGAAATTAATAGAAAAATTTTAAGTGAAACTGAAATTACTGAGGCATTAACCACTTTTAATAAATTTTAATGGATTGTTTTAAAAAAAGTTATTTACAACTAAAACTTTATATTGTGAGCTTGAAAAAGAATAAACAAAAAGTAATATACAATAATAATATGTAGTAAAGAAAACATAAGATTAACATGCCATTAGTTAGAGATTACTTTATGTTAATATGATTGGTTTTTTTTCTTTCCAAGTTTAGATATTAGTGAAAAATAAACAGCAAAAAAGTATATTGACCCAAGATATATTTATTACTCTTTTTAGGTAAAAAAATTCAAATTAAAATTTAATATAACACCTTCTTATCAGTTAGATGATTTTCTAAGCATTATGTTGTAAACCATCTAGTAAAATATAAGATTAAGTAAGAATACTTTTATATTGATTTATAGTAACAAGAGATTTATAGACTCTGGAACAAAAAATAACCCAAAAATTTTTTTTATACAAGACACGTTAAAGAGTATGGATTGTAGGATGTTAAAATTGGCGCGATTTCCCAGGTACTCATATTTGGCACACTTTTTTTGCACAATCGCAAAACTACAATAAATTGACGAAAAGACCCTCAATAATAATATAATAATATAATATATAATATTATAATAATATATAATATAATATATAATATTATAATAATATATAATATAATATATAATATTATAATAATATATAATATAATATATAATATTATAATAATATATAATATAATATATAATATTATAATAATATATAATATAATATATAATATTATAATAATATATAATATAATATATAATATTTTAATAATAGATAACATTATATTATTATAATAATATTATAACATATATTATAATAATATAAAATATTATAATATTATTATAATATATAATATTATAATAATTCTTTGTAAATACCCGGCTCTGGCGTCCAAAACAAATAGATTTTTAAGGAACTACTTTTTTGACAACTTGTCAGGCTGTTCAACGATAAAGACGAAAGATCTATTAAATTATCTAAATTTGACTGGATGAATTTAGTCTGTATGTTTCTATCTTAAGGTTTCTTGCGAGAAATATGATAGTAAGACGTCGAAAAATCCCTAATTGTGGTCTATGGAAAGTTATCTGCAGTAGTAGCACTGCAACCAACCATTCAAACATTTTTTTAAGATTTTTCTAAAAAAAAACTTTATCAAATGAAACTTGTCTTAAGAGAGGGTATTGATTGGAGATGATGCAAATTACTGACCACTAGCTGAAATATCAAATAACAAGCCACTAAAGGAACTTCCATTTCAGTAAATAGAATTGAACTATTTCAACTATACTACAACTATAGAAAAATTACTACTAAAAAAAGAATATACATTACTTATTACATAGCAAGTGAAAATAAAGTGTAACCTACAAATTGGCATTAATAAAATTCGCTTTGACCGAATTATGTCGCTGTGGGAGATAATTCAGTTGCTGCTGTTTATGTTGTTGACGCTGATAATAGTCACTTGCAACATTGCCACCTTCTCGTACATCTAAAAGATTAGTGAGGCTATTGTAACCGCTACTGTCGCTACTGCTATTACAGCCGCCTTGTAATATATGCTGATGTGATGTTGTTATGGGCATTGAACTATGCATGCTAGACGACGACGGACCATATAGGGGCAAAAAATTAACAGAATCATTATAATCATTATCACCATTTTCATCATTTTCTATTCTGTTTATGTTATTGACCGGCAATGTGACAATTTGTGGTGCTTCATAAATTGGCGAAGAACAGGATGTTGCTGACGATGCTGCCGATGCTGTTGTAATGTTTGTTTTTGTTGTTGATGGTGTTTTCATTGTTGACGCTGATATTGATGCTGACGAAGATGCATTTACAAAGCAAACATTTGTATGATTATTGGATATGCCATCTGAAGTTGGAGTAGTAGTGCTGCTGTTGTTATTATTATCATCATTGTAGCAGGATGATGTTGATTCAACCATGGGAAGTTGTAACACAAGTTTTTGATGTTCATGATATGGTACGCGATTATAACGCAATTGACGCTGATATTTCGGGTGGCGATGATCAAGCATATTTAAATCTTCCAACTCAGCAATGGAATAATAATGCCTAGTCGATTCATCTTGCATATAATGATTGTATTCCTCCTCCTGTTGCTGATGTTGCAGTTCTTGTTGCTGTTGAAACTGCCGATACAGTAGCGTTGATGGATCTGTTGATGCTGGCAAAATGTATGTTAATTGATCGGGATTTAGAGGAGCAGCAGCAAATGGTTGTTTATATGAGTTAAGACTACTTTTACGCGAGGCTGCGCGTTGTAAAGTATTTTGCGCAACAGCAGCAGGATGCGGTGGCGATATAATTTGTGGTGGCGGCGTTGCAGTTTGGTAAGCAAGTATCGGTTTGTGTTTGTGGTTTAAATCAGCATCCGCATCTGTCACATCTTCAACGATTTGTTTATTATTTTTATTAGATTTTCTATTCGAAAATGTTGTTTTTGCATAAAGCTTTTTCATGATTTCAATTTTTTTTTAAGGAAATAAAATATTTAATTTTTGTTTTATATATATTTCTTTTTTTTTTTGGATTATTTTAGCACGTTTTTATACAAAATTATTTAATTTTGTTTAGATTTGGTGCACATCTGTTTCATGTACATTTAAAGTTATGCAAATACACAATACCAAAATACAAAAACTTGAATTATGCACAATCTCAGAAACTCAAAATTCACAGAAAAACAAAAGCACTAATAGAGCACTGAAATGGTTTATAATTTATTTGGGATTGTTTGAGGCGTTCACTAATGCGCTTTGATTCAGAGCAACTATTCGATCGTCAATCGAGTTTAACAACAGCGGCGCAACTGAAATCAACTCATAGTTGAAATGTAATAAAAACTCTCAAGAAATGAATGAAAGAATGAGTAAATGAATGAATGAATGAAACAAGTGTTTGTATTTGTATTTGTATTTCTTTAATATTTCTTTCTGTGGGTTTGAAAGTCTTTACTATATATGTGTCAGTGTGTACCAATGTGTAAACATGTACAAGATTTCTGTACCAAAGTTGGAGCATAACAAGCCGACATCTAAAACGAAGCAGCTGACCAAGAGTGACGCGCTCAAAATCAATACAATAAACAAACTGAGACAATAGTTTGATATAAAAAAAAATATTGAAAAAATTTTGTAACATCAAGTCATGTGGGCGCTTATGGTACGCTACACATTGTAAACTCTATTTATTATTCATTTTCGGCGAGGATCTTAACGATTAAGAAGTGTAAATGTGTTTCTTACAGGGCGGTAGAATAGAACAAGATTTTTTAAAAATTAAACATCCTACATAAATTCTTTGGGAATTTATTTTCTTTTATTTATTTGATTTTTAGTGCTGTAAGTTGACACATTTTTTCTTAATATATATTTTTTGTAACGTTATTAATGTATTTTATTGAAACATAAAAATATTTACAAGAATGTTGTCTTATTTTTCATTTTCAATGTCAGGCGATTGACTTTATTAAGTGAAATTGAAGAATTCTTTTAGATTTTTTTCAAAAGAATATGCAAACACTATTTGTAGTATTTTGAATACTAATTTTTATACTAATAATAATATACTATTAATAATATACTAATAATAATATACTAATAATAACTCAACTTTAGTATACGACTTTTCTTTCACAATATGTAACTAGTTAAACGGAATCTTCTCTTTTACTATACTTTTTGTTTTTCAATCAATAAATAATGTTCGCACATTATGAGACATTCTCAAAGAACATCCTGTATATACAAAAGTTTTCTTCTTCAATATTAAATTGTTATTATCAACTCTTAAAACTCTGAACCTATATACAATTATGAAAAATCCAACAACGAAGAAAGTTAATAGATCTCTAGGTGGCGTGATAAAGTAAAAGAAACATATCGCAGTGGTATATAATACGACAAAAAAGAGCATGTCAAAATGGGATACGACTTGGCGGAATACAACATAATGAAACATGATGAAGTGAAATGCGATGAGGCCGATTATGACAATGTAAGCACAAAATAGAGCAATAGAGCGAAGAAGAGAACGACAAACCGATCAGAAGGACGAGTACAAGGAAAACAATAAATGAAGGATTAATGAAGTATAGAATAATTATTTTATATTTATTTTAAATAAATGGTAGAAAGAGAAGTATTAGAAAGATTATAAGCTTGAAGATTACACATTGGAGAAGAAAGTGACGAAAAGATAAATACCAGAGAGATTACATGCGTACATATTAAACGAGGAGAAGGAATAGTGAAAGCAAAAGCCTCCCTAATATATCAAAAAATATATCAGTATATATAATGATACTATATTAATGTGTATGTCAGTTGTTCATAACCAATGAAACTGTCTTATTATTATTATTAAAAGTTTAAGCGTGAAATCGCCCAACAGCCGGTACTGCGGCCAGAAAAGTCCTATTGTATCAATTTCAATGAAACTCTATTACACAACAAAGTAATATTATTATTTATATGTAAATGAAACATTCTACACATATTACGTGTTTTTAAATTGTATGTATTATGTATATTTTAAATCATAACTTATTACCTCTACCCTAGGTTCTACGTGATATAGGAAAGGTGTTGTATAAAATGTACTCAATAAAATTAAAACAAAAACAAAAGTATACTTTTTCTCGAGTCCTATTTACAGAATAAGAAAAAAATTTGCATTTAAATATAACAATTGTTGGACTGATTTTATGAAACTTAATATATTTACATCAACATAATCCACAATAAACGTGCCGGTTCAACAGTCAGTCTTCCATAAATCGACACATACAAGCGTAAAAACATGCGTTAATTCTTTTTCATCAATCCATGAGGTTTGTAGATTTGTAGATTTGTAAAGGTATTTGTCATTATTAACTCCCTTCCAGTCAAATTACTAAGCAATTACGTTTAATACAAATCTTGAGATAGAGATAGTGATAATGGTAGAAATATTGACGATGATGAATTATTGTACATAGTATACATGTATAATCAGTTAATTCTGTGCTTATATTTGTGGTTAAAGAAGTTCAATCAGAAGTAAAGGTTTAAAAGATTAAAAAATAACAATACAATAGAACGAAATAAACAGCAGAGTATCGTATTGGACAAACTAAAATAGATACAAGATACACAGCGTGAAAATTCAAGAATTTCATTTACTTAACTCATTTTCATTTTATAAAATCATCAATAATAGAAAGAAGATGGTACATACAATTTTAATTTGGCATATTTAAAGGTCTACAACATCGGTCAAGATAAGATAAGTTATTGACAAATTAATTACCGTTACATGGATAATTGACTTAATTATAAAAAATTATGATTTGATTTATATCTTTCAATTGATTAAATTTTACTACATTAAGTTGTTTATACAAAGAAAAATTATTTAAACTTCTATTGGAGAACTTCTAATAGATTGATAAAAAGAGAAAGTTCATTGAAGGCATTAATAGTTAGAAGGAATCAATATTGTTTTTATATAATTAATAAAACAGATTTTATAGTTTAAAATAATAACATCGTTAAGTTAAATCATAAAAGCAAGATTTAGATAACATATTACAGTGAAAGCTATCTTAAACGGACACGACAGGATCAGCAATTCTTCCCGATTAAGAAAAATTTCTATTTAGAAAAACATAACTTTTATGAATAATAAATAAAGTCTTCATTATTATATTAAAAAAATTGCCTGACATATTATTTATCTTTACCATATATGAATTTATTATACAGTCTTCAACATTCAAAAATAAATAAGACAAAAAATATGTAATCAAGAAATTTAGTTATTTTATTCCAATATACTGATGATGAATATTAAACATTACCAGGTCTTTGTTTGTTAGGTTTCTGTACACAAAAATATTAAAAGTAAAGGGGTAGCAGACGGGACGATCAGAAGAAGGACGGTCGTTGTATGAACTGTTTAAGGTAAGAGAAGTATTCCATCGCATTGACAAATGGCCTGAAAAGTAATTGTGAAAACTATAAAGTCGCTAGAATTTTATAACCCAGAAGATTTGAAAAGAATAAAATAAAAAATCTTTTGCATCTTCGCAAACCCCAAGTTCGTGCAGTTACTGCAGTATAAACAGTGTGTTTCGTCAACTGAAGGTGTTACTACGACTAAAAGCGGATAGAGTCCATCACCCACTCTTTGTCTTTGTTCAAGTGTTCAGAGGAAACGACTTCAAAGTCTTGGGATCCTCTCTTTACTAGACCAATATAACATAGATTAGATAGAAATAAAACGAAAAGCTTTTTGCACTTCGGGAAGCGATTTCAATATTATAAAAATCGTTTTTTCGCTGATCTATCTGAGATAACCAAAAGTGAATTGATTAAGGCTCCTTAACTTTATTTGGGAGATCAAATGGTTTAACCAGTATAAGCCACTAGAAAAAACACATAGTTCCTAGTAGGCAATATTAAAAATATCACAGAGGGCAATATATGTATCTGAGTGGAAGTGTTGCTAGTTGCATTAGCATGAGAACTCTCAACTATATATAACTAAAAAATTAATTCAACAAATAATTTAGAGGAAATTTTTAGTACTAATTTTCTATAAAATGAAAAAAATTTGTTTATATTTTATAAAAAATATATATAAAATTTTCCTTACTTTATTATCAAAGCGAGTATATACCATTAATTTACTTTAAATTTGTCAAATTTGTATATCTTTATTTTAGTTTATTTCGTTTTATAAATATTAATTTAAACTTTCTTATAATTTTGCACATCCCTAACAATTTGTAATCATTAAAGCACCTTATGTCTAGCTAAATGTGTGATATGTTACGTTTTCATATATCGCACCGTAAAAGGCAACACATTTTTTAAAAGACTGCAGATTAAAGTACAAACAAACTTTTTTTTGTTTATATTGTCGGTTAGATAAATATGGTTTGCATATGGAAACCGATTATGGTAACAAGAAGAGTTTTGAATATATCTGGCTCATACATATCAACACAGAAGTTTAAATTCATTTTGAATGACAAAGATACTTCGTCGTTAAAACGCAGCTTAAAAAGTTTTTATCAACAGATTTTACAGATTTCTGCTGTTTTTAATTTCCAAATGATTTTTTTTTAAAGCATATGTGTGCTGTGTTTGTTCACTAAAGTCCTTCAACTGACTAACCAACCAAGTGTATTGTGCATAAATTTTGCATTTTTAATTAGTCAACGCATAGCGACAAAATTCATGGCGCACGTTCTGTGACTTGAACAATGATTCAAGGTACCTTTAATCAGTTATGTGAGTTGACAGTTTTTCTGAGAAATGCATCTACAACTGCATAATTGAGTAATGTTTTATGTTTTACACAAAAACAGTTTGTGCTACTGTTAACTAATTAAATATTGGCTATGTCGTAGTCAACTATTAACGTGAACTCAGTAATTGTTACAGTCTGAAAACAGATTTTTTTGTTGCAGTTTATTAGAATTACTTATTCCAGTT